ATAGTCCGGGGTTGGAGCAGTAAAGCTGATGCCGGAGCCGATATTGGGGTTTTCCGAAGTGCACAACGCTGCTGAATGGCTGGGCGCTAATAGATCCTCAAATATTGCGGTTTGGGGGATATAGTTCGAGACCTGCAGGATCTTTTAGTGCGTGCTCATTTGGATGAGTATTTCGAGACGTATTAACAAGCGAATGTATGCATTGGTTTCATATCCTGAAGTGTCGAACAATTCGGGTGTTATTGGAAAAAGCCCTTTTCTGCAATTGTGACCAAAATAACTATTTTATTCGTCTTCGTATTAACAAGTTTGATTTTAGTGTATATAGTCATACCGAATTGATCGTCAATGACCCCTATATATTAACGATCAATTTGTCTATTAACCCTCTCGTCCGTAATTTTATGGACAACATGCAAGATGATTTTGAAAATCATCAAACGATTCATAGTAGTATGGTGATAAATTGACAATATGAAATATTGACCAAACATTTGATTTAAAAAAAAAATAAATGTGTATACACCTTTTTAAATTGTAATTCAGAAAGTGTAACTTGTAATTCGGATTAGTAAAATGTAATTCAGAAAGTATAACTTGTAATTCAGATCAGTCAATTGTAATTAAGAAAACGTCAATTGTAATTCAGATTAGTCAATTTTAATTCAGAATGCATTACATGTAATTCAGATTAGTGAAATGTAATTCAGAAAGTGTAACTTGTAATTCAGAATAGTCAATTGTAATTCATAAAGTGTAATTTGTAATTCAGAAAGCATGGTATAGGTATTGTGTGGTTAGCAACAATATTTTATATTTATCGACCAACGGACATATATCTTGAAATGCCAGAGCTGCAGCATGGTGAATGGTGGTGTGTTGTTCAGCCCTAAATTGTATCTTTGGCCTGGTCAATATTCTGTTCAAGATAAACAAGTCGTTGTTCTCAAGGGGAATGGATGCATACGGGTTGTTCGTAGTTTTAATAAGTGATACTTTCTGAATTACAAGTTACGCTTTCTGAATTACAATCGACGGTTTCTGAATTACATTTCACTATTCTGAATTACAAGTTATACTTTCCGAATTACATTTCACTAATCTAAATTACATATTACGCTTTCTGAATTACAATGAACTAATCTGAACTTCAAGTTATACCTTCTGAATTACAATTAACTATTGTGAATTACATCTTATACTTTCAGAGTTACAATTGAAAAAGATGTAGTGGAAGTTATGCATTTTCCATCATGATAATTCAATTATGACTAGTATGGAGATAATCGAAACACTCAGGACAGCAAGTTCATCATACACTTTACATATGAAATAATGATCATTTTGATGAGAATATATCTTTGAAGCAACATACAAGTTTTCTTATTCCGATGTAGCAATGAACCCGTTTCGAACGGATCATCTGCTTGAATAGAGCAACCAGATATGTAATATCAATGAAATATTTCGTTTATTCCACATCGGGTTAAATTTTTACCTCTAGATGGCGATCATTTCGCCTCGTCTATGCCTGCCTCGAATTCATTATATAAGTGTAGCCTGATTCTTCGTGTTTGAAATATCAGCTGGATAAATCGGACTTCGAATGATTAGCAATCCGAAATAGTTTTGCATCAGCTGAAGAGAAGTAAAATCAGGAGATCTCTATGCTAGAAATCGACTAGTTTCCTAGATTAGCTTATTCTATTGATGTGAAATCTCAGGAAATTCCTGAATCAATACTGAATTTGGTTCAACAAAACAATTTGTCGAATGGAAATACAGTTTCTCTTGATTCAACGAAATATTTCATTAAATTAGCCAATTATTTCATTGAATCAACCAAATATATCATTGAATCAACCAATTATTTCTGCGAATCAGCCAAATATATATCATTGAATTGACTGAATATTTCATCGAATCAATATCTCGTCACTTTTAATCAAACAAAATGAGTGTTTGAGCCAATTCAATATATCATAAACAATTCATGGATGTGCTTGATTGAATGAGATCTACAGTTCATTCAAAAGACATATTTACTTAATTCAAACTTCAAATTCGCCCTGGAACAAGATATAGATTTACTTATTTCAAAATTATATTTTGTCGTGCATATATGACACTTTTATTCGCTCCATTCAATTAAATTTTTCATCATTCAATAATTGATATGGTGCCGCGTTGTTTGGTATCGGTAAACACACTATGATTATGAAACAGATACTCCCACCACAGACCATATACAGATTGTGCATGCAAATTTACACTTGATGACTTTCAGTTTTTCAGCCGAAGATGTGAGAAATTAGTTGTTTTTCACTTGAATGAAAATGTTTTCGAAAACATTTTTTGTCTTATCAAATGTTGATTTGTTTGGACAACACCATGTTTCCATTTCACAATTTTTCACCCACTGACGGCATCTTATTGATATAACAACTTAGAGCTTTCCACAACACGTGCTACTTTTCTACCTAATTACATTACATTTCTCAATCCTCGCTGGAATCACTTGTTACACTAATGAATTTACCATTGTATTGTACTCAATTGATTTATTCAATTGGATCATTTACATTATCCATATCCCAGGATCGGACCAATAAGGTTATCGACATTATCAATGCAACTGCTAATTTCATTTTATGTATATTCCGCCAATGCTCATTGAATTCGGTAGATAATGAGGATAAATGAAATCAAGTTGCATGTTCAGATAAGGAGATATTGTTGCGTCCTTCTTTGTCAGCCCATTGTTCGGAATGATTTTGTTGTAGCTGTGACTGTGCCTTCTAGCTTAATCCGGATTTAAAACATAGTTTTCTATCTCCAGTTGCAGTCTAGAATATTATTATGCCAACGCTATATAAAGACATGCACACCCTGAATTTTTTTCCCAGGCGATCTATGGGTGTCAGATAAGGATGGCTTTCTATTGATACACTTTTTGGACTGTTTTTGTCGTCTAATGAGGGGACATAGAGTGTAAACAATGGGAGTAGTACGATGAGGGTGTTGAAACATATTTTAGGGTAGATAAATAAAAGTTAATTGATTGTTTTGATTCCAAATCGAATCACCATTTGGACTTTCCCATGACATAAATATTCGTTGAGCAGGAACTTCTTGTATTTAAATTTGAATAGTGATTACGTATTTCGACTGGCGTAATCATCTTCTAGACGTTTCAGGAACGAATCTGCTGAAGTTTTCAACAAAAAAGTAACATAATTCTCTCAGATTGATCTGATCTTTTTCGTATCTTCCCAGTGATAGCAGGTACCAGAAAAATATATGAGTTACATGTTATTCTAATTCAACTTGAATGTATCATTATCATATTCAAATTTTAGTATAGTGAATATAGGTACTGTATTCCATTTGATCAGGAAGCAATGTAAGGTATTATCTCTGGTCAGAAGGATGCAAACGGATTCTTTGATTCGTTTTTTTTTTGGTTGTAATATCTTCCTATATGGTGTGTCATCATTATTCAGTAAGGTTATGTTCATCTATTTTTGAGTTGTCGATATGTCTTTTCATTATTTGAAAAGTTGTTACCTACCTTACTATTTTTCAAGTTCAACTGTAACGACTATCTCTCTTCCTAAAAATGAATGTGGAAAACGATGAAAACAACATGAACACCGCTTGATTGGTGAAATTGATAATATTGTTGTAGGTAACACTAACACGAGTCAATATCGGTTTTTCTATAGGTATAGAAGTTTTAACTACTAATCGGCTGATGATGGGCTTATCCAAAATGTGTGGATACTGGATATGACTAAGTTTTTTTATCTATGAACACGAGGTGGATTCAGACTCATTGACAACAAATTCACTAAGAATTTTTGAACTGGTTTTTGTTTAACTGATTTATTTTCGGCATGTTTATCATCTATCCTTAATCATATGGACAACTCTTGTAGATACAGTTCAGTTCGTTATATTTTTTCTTGTCATCATATATTTTTCCAATTCATGCATTGTTTGTGGATTCATGCACAGTTCTAACATACTATCAAGAAACACTATGGTTTATTGTCTTCGAGTTACCCTACTAGAAACTACACCTAATTGACAAGGGTTACCAATCTATTAGGTTTTGCTTATATTATCACATAATTACTAAGTTATACAGGGTGGTCCGGTTTGTAATAGAAAAAATTCAAAAGTTTGTTGTACTCATGATAATGCAAAAAGTTCATATGAACATACATGATTCAAACGCGCCGTTCTCGAGATATAGAGTGTTGAAAAAACGAGTCTGAATATTGATTTTTGATGAAAATTTCCCACAGATAATAAACTTCTCACGCTCTATAACATGAAATGAAAATTATTTCATAAAGTGATTCAGTGGCGACTGAATCTGGGGGTGCATGGTTGGTGAGAAAAAAAAGCACCCCAAATATTATATGTGCATTTCTTTCTCAATGTGTAGTTCAAAATCTGAAAAACCATAGGTCCCTGCGTGATAAAGGTCACTCGTGAGTTTTTGATGCGATTCGCTATTGTCGAGTAAATCGGTTTAGAAATATCGTAACCTGTTAAGTTCAATAATAATATTGGATTGTAAATAAAAGAAGAGTTGTATGATCACTATATTTCATCTTATAGAGCGTAAAAAGTTTAGTATCTGTAAGAAATTTTGTTGATTTATCTCAAACCGTTTCGAATTTTTTATCAAAAAACAACACACTATATCTCGAAAACGACACGTTCGAAAGTATATGTTTTCATGAACTTTTTTATCATTTCAACGAGTACAACACACTGTTGAATTTTGTGTATTACAAACCGGACCATTGAGATGATTATTGTAGTTGCTCAATGTATGTATAGGAAAATAATGACTCCTTCAGCAATTTCTTGAAGTGCTTATAAGTACTTGATACATATTGCATTATTCCTTCAGTTATAATCTAAATTATCTGACATTCTGACATGATTTTCGTAGGTTTACTAACTGGCTATAGCATAATTTCCAGTTTATTCCTATTTTGCAGGCGTGAACCCAAGGAAGCAGCGTAGGGAGCGAACGACCTTTACTAGGGCGCAACTCGACATCCTCGAATCCCTTTTCGGCAAAACGAGATACCCCGACATCTTCATGAGGGAAGAAGTGGCATTGAAAATCAATTTACCGGAGTCGAGGGTCCAGGTAAGAATCATTCTTCACTTTACCACTCACCATCAGGCATCAGGAACTTATAGTTGTGCGATAACGCTTAAAAACAATCATATAGAATCTGATTTCGACCATGCTGTATGTACAATAGACTAGACCATGATCTTGAAATCTTCATATTTTTAGTCCTCTATTGTAAGTTCAATCACTACATTTTTTGTTACTACATTTTCGCAACTCAGATGGTTCTAGTAGGTTATATGGCATTATTGAGAACAAACGTCGCCTCCACCACGTGTCGCAACTCAGATGGACCTTCACCACGTGTCGCAACTCAAACATCGCTTTCACTTCGATCATCGATGTATCAACTTCAGAAAACTCGCTTGGCTATTTTGCAAGAAGTTTTTCAGTATTTCATCACCCATCAACCACATTCATTCCGAAATAAAGATAATTGTTTTTCAAAAGTACAACAAACAATTTATTCAATCACGAAAACATAAAAATGTGCCAAAAGGGCGGAACAGCAAAGAACAAACATGAAACGAGCAAACAACAGAAACAAGATGATAGTTCTTGGTACTTACATTATGTTATGGGCAGCAGCACCAAAGTCTAAGGTTTGTTAATCTGTGGTCGAATCAACACCGCCCAAAGTGGCGTAGAGCCACTTTCGAAGTCAGCAATCGATGCATGAGTGTTATGTACTGATTTTAATATAATAATAGGTAGTGATAACGATTGAACTGATAATGACCATGTATTCTATTCATATTTTTGATAAAAAAGTGGATATAAGTGGTTTTGCACAAGAGGTCCTCAGTTGATATGCCACAATATTAAAACAATTAACTGGTCTCCCCCCCTCCCATATGATCAGGTCATCTCAATATTTTTTCAGATAAGAGAAGTGAAACCCCAAAAAATCCTCTGAAATTTGGAGACTTCCATTCGATGTTCCTAATCCGAAATGAAAGAGCTGCCCGCCATGAAGCGTTCATTTTTTATCACTCCAACGGCCGAATACCCCACACCTATACATCAAAATAATCTCTTCCGCATCTGAAAACTAATTTTTATAGCGGCAAAGTGAAAAGTCTAGCGAATGGAAGCAGGGGTGGTTCCCCATTCAATCTGTAGAACCACCGCACTGGGATAACTGTATATATTTTATTCAATAGAACAGCACAATAGGCCGAACATGCTGCGAGGGGGCTGTTTTCCATTAGTTCCCCGGATTATCAAGGGTTGTTCCAGTAAAACACCCCGCCCTTGCTCTGCCAACCTCGGCAGGCAAGGCAGATACCTATAAAACATCTATTATCGGCTGCTAGGGGGGCAAATGTAATGGAAATTGATAGGGAAAATTTGGTATGACAACTGTCCATCACGAATTTCGCTCTCGTACGTTAAGCCAGCTTTATTTTTCTATCAGATCGGGCTGAGATCGGTGTTAACAACATTTGGTGACTCTGAGATTATGATGGAGTCAATGGAATCAGGAGAATGTTTTTCTTTTCATCAGCAGGGATTATAGCTTATATAGTTATGGTTATATTAGATCTATAAGATTATGAATATTTTGTCTATAGATGATCGAAAAACTTGAGATTCAGCCCCATATTTAACACTCACATTTGCTATAATTAGTTGGTTAGAAATGTCACAAATCATCATTTTTTCTGGCCACACATCCACTTTAACATACTTATCCAGTTACGTTGAAGGTAATATCATCTCGATCTTCACATCGACTTCACTTCCAGCCAAAAAGTATGACTCTATCAAAAACCTTGGTCATCCACTAGGTATAATGTCATGATATTTTCCTTGTATATTATCTTTATCCATGCGATGATACAACTAATTCAATCAAGAATTTACTGATCAAGGTAGTTTTGTATTGAGCATACTTTATTGTCATAAGAATTATCTTGTGGACAAAATTTAACTCAATCTATAATGTAATATATGTAAAAGTGCTTTTGAATTATTGAATTTTCACTTAATACATAATCAGTTTGTATACATAGAAACATATGAGTCGTACAGAATACTGGTAAATAATAAACAAGCCTGTCCCAACATATAAGTAAATTAATTATAAATATAATATAAATACGTCACATTGAGTGTATCACAAACAAAATTTGAAATACAACATTGATTTCAGGGATTAGCATTATGAAATTCTTGTACATTATAGTATGGCCTATCACTTGATTAAAAAATATTTGAAGAAATTTCAATCATCCTCACCAACCAACCCATCATGTGGCAAGGCAATGCGACAACATTAAGTTGCCAATACCAATGACATTTGTCATAAAGGATTCCATTGTCTATAAGAATTTAACAGAAATACAATCTCTACAATGCTTCAGGAAGGCTGTGAAATATTTTTTAAACACACTGTTTCCATTATAAAGATAGAAATCACCCTTAGAATTCCATGAATGATAAAGAGTGTTCTTCAGGAGACTGTACGTTTTGATTTGCACATATTATATCTTATGGCTCGTTTTTGCAAAATTGGAATATTTTGTAATAGATAACCACTATACATACGCCCCAAAATGGAATTCCTTATCTCAGATGAGATTCCACCAGAGAAAAATAAACAGACCTAGCTGCTGTTAGACCAAGTTCATTTGCATAACAGCATAACAACCAGAGGAAACTTTGTTACACAGGGCATGAGTATGGTCAACAAATTTTAATTTTCTATCGATATGTACTCCTAAAAATTTTACGCTACTTTTGTTCACCATAATGTCATTTCCAATGGATATATTCTCAAGTTCGAATCTGAAAGCTACTACCTTCGTTTTCGAAATGTTTAGAGAAAGACGATTTGAATCACACCAACTATTAACTTTCATCATATCGTTAGATATGATTTCAGTTCAATCATTTGCATTTTCCCGAGATATTTATACTTGTCAAATCGTTAACGTAGATTTGAAACAGTATTGGCCCCATTATTGAACCTTGAGGCACACCTTACGATTCCCAATTCCTTATCGATATGAATGTCTCTATTGGCTTACATGTTATATACGAACTGAGATGATGTCGATACTTTCTGAAATGGTTTATTGACGACTTGGAAGGTAATATTGTACGAAACAAGAACACAGAGAAATGATCATGAGTCTATTTCAATTTTCATATATGGAATAGAATCTAGAATAACCCAACAGGTAAGATATAGGTATGTTTTATGATGATTGATTCTTATTAGTTTTCTTATACCTACTATTCTTTCTAAAGTCTGAGTTGCATAAACTGGAAGTAAATTGTTTTCAGTATATGAAACCAATACCGAAGGTTTTTTTTTCAAATATTATTCATACCTGAGATTGAATTTCTAAAAATAATACTCTCACTTTCCTCAGATACCTGATGAAGAAGCTTCAATTGTTCCACTTGAGTGTGTATGTGTGGACATCAGTATAACCTGTACGAATATGCATACAAATCACAATAGAATAACACTTTTTAAATGAACATAACTCTGCCGATTAGAAATGCTCTGGTGATGTTGACTATGAGCCTTGTCGATAAAGAGATCATAATAGTAAATCATACCAGAATCAACAAATAACACATAAATCTGAAAAGCGTTGACAGGTTTTATTTCCGGCTATGAAAAATTGCTTTACATGAACCGCATTTCGCATAATAAATAGAATTGCGGAAATGAATAATTCAATTTATGTCTGCCTTTATTATATCATGTATTATAAAAAACTCTGTAGATATAATGAAAATTGAATAGTAAGTTATTTAGCAGTAATTTGAACGGGTATGTCAAATTCGTTCGAATTGAAGTAGTACAAATTTAATGCACCAGTAATTTTTTTCAATGTTGTCTTATGAGTACCTATTAAGTACCTACTATAATTCTCAGTAGACTATAGAGGAATGGTTGAAAAATATTCTCTGAAATCGGACTTTTTATCTGGATCCCGATTATTTTCTAATTCTGACTTTTTTCTTCAATTCTGACTATTTTCTCTGAATTCAGACTTTTTTCTCTGACTTTCAACTTTCTCTCTGAAGTCAGAATATTTTCCCTGAAATGAGACATTTTTCTTGAATTCTAACTATTTTTCCTGAATTCAGACTTCTCTCTGAATTCAGATTTTTATTTTGAATTCTGACTTTTTTTTCTGAATTCAGACTTTTTTCTCTGAATTCAGACTTTCTCTCTAAAGTCAGAATATTTTCTCTGAAATGAGACCTTTTTCTTGCATTCAAACTATTTTTCCTGAATTCTTACTTTCCTCTCTCAATTTGGACTTCTTTTTCTGACTGCAGACTTAGAGTTTAGATTTTTTCTCTGAGTTCAGAATTTTTCTGTGGAGTCAGACTTTTTTGCCTGAATTCAATATCTTTTCTGTGAATTTAGACATTTCTCTCCGAATTCAGACCTTCTCTCTGAAGTCAGATTATTTTCTCTTGATTCAATTATTTTCTCTGATCCTGATTAGTCAGAGGTTTTTCTCAGAATTCAGATTTATTTTTCTGAATTTAGTCTTTTTTCCTGAAGCCAGATTTTTTGTATACACACGACAGGACAGGGGCCTTCGTTTCCGTGAGGTGCAACTTCTGAAACACATTCTATTCGATAACTTTCAAACGTTGATATGAAATGAATAAGCACATACATTTCCGGTTGTACATCCTTATAACTCACTCTTTATTTATAATCAGTATTAAAATATTCTTGCAATCGACAAAAAATCATCTGGAATTATGAAAGAGCTTCTTGATATTACATTCACGTCACAAATTTCCAACAAAAATGACATATATATCGTACCACGACTTGTGTCAAAATGAAAGGTGAAAAAGTAACCATTGAAGAAGTCAATCATTCAAAATATTGAGGGGTAGAGATTGATCGAAATTTGAAATGGAATATCCACATAAAATATTTAGTACATAAACTTAGATCGATACTCTTCAGATACAGGAAACTCAAAAGAATTTTGAATATTTCAGACATGAGAACAATATATCAC